AAAAAAAAAAAAAAACCAAAAAAAGAAAAAAAACAAAAAAAAACAAAAAAAGATTTGCTATAAAATGTTTAACTTTGCTGTATCACTGTAGTTAATGTACTCTCTGCATTGTGTTTTCTTCTTTTAGCATTTTCACGTTCCAGACAGTGCTACTTTTAGCGTTTGCCCAGGTGGAGAGCAGCCTGCTATGAAATCCAGCTCCCTTCCTTGCTGGGACTTGATGCCTGACATCAGTCAATCAGTGCTGGATGCATCCCTGCTTGAGAAACAAATCCTGCTGGGCTTTTCTCCTGCCCCAGGTGCTGACAGCTCACAGTGCTGGAGCCTGCCAGCTATAGTTAGACCAGAGTTTCCCAGACAGAGTGTGGCAGTACCCTTTGGGAATTGCAGGGAAAATGGATTCTGTACCAGGTATTTTATGTTTATATAAATGTCTTTCTTATTTGCTCGTCAGTCTCTCTGTTCATCTAGATGCCAAGAGAGATAAAATGGTCGCAGTGCTTCCCATATGTAATACTAGGCTTTACTTTATTTTTAATTACTTCTAGACATTGTGTACACTGGTTCAAGTGGTATGATCACATATGGCTTATCCCAGTATCCTGCTTAAGAGATTTTTCTCTTATGGAGCTTATGCTGGGGGGAAATGATGGTACTTGTACCACAGAATGGCAGTGTATAAAAAGATTCTATGTATGATCATATAAATAGCATCGTATGAAAACAGATCATATCATAATGAAAAAATTACCAAGGTTAAAATATGAACAAGTCAAGTTGGAAAACCTTTTCTTTTCCCATGTTTTACTTTTACTCCAAAATGCTATTTTTCTCAAAAAGTCGTTAAGAGAGAGAACTTAGATAAACACAAGTCACAGAAGACTCTGTTCTGTGGTGGTTCCTGCACGCAAGTTGCTCCAATTACCGATTACCAATTATGCAAATGATAACCACAGAATCAAGCCAGAGACATATAATGGTTTGTTCATACTGGACTTCTATCATGTGGTTGTTTTGCATGTAATATGTCCCTTCTGCAGCTGTCAAGAATAACTTATTTATAGTATATATAACAGCTACAAAAGAAACATATTGTGACCTTATGAGAGATACCTTATTTTCATGATTATGAATTTATAGACTTTATTTCAGGTTTTAGCCATGTTCTTTTGATGAAACATTTTAAAAGACAACAGATATTTTTAATAGTAATATTTTAAGAGACGAGCCTAACTTACGTTATTCATAATGGTAAGGCTCCGTTCTCTACACACGTCCCTCCGTCTTTCACAGTATTCACAAAATCCTTGAATTTACAAATATTTCTCATCCCTAACACTGTAGAGGAGTGGTTATCCTTATATTCTGTTTGGAGATGTTAAATATAGTGAGTTTAAGGAGGTGTTTTTGAAAGTTACGTGAACTCATGTCTATAAATAAAACATTTTTAAAACTGAAAGAAAATTTCAAACAAAGCTTAATTTGGAAATAAAGTTTAAAATGCTGAGAATTACAGTATAATTTAATCTTATCTAAAATACTAAGCTAGATATTGGACAAAAAGTACCATGCTTGAGTCCTGGCCCCAGCTTTCTTGGCTATCAAAAAGAAATTATCTGAGGTTGGCTTGCCTTGCTCTTTTAAAAGTAGGCTGGGAAAGGAACTTCGCTGTTTATCCAAGAGCTGTACTCTGAAAATGAATTTATTTCATGCTGTCCCTCATCTATTTCCTTCCATCAGTCCAACCAACAGCACACGTTAGATGGTGTTATTACTGTGCTTTTACCAAATGCTAATGGACCATTCACTCTGACATTTCACACAAATACAATCTTTGGGAAGTACTCACACTGGCAAATAGGATGGATGGCACATGGAAGATTTTTAGAGCAGTATTGACCCCTTTTAGTCAGCAAAGGGCCACATTTGGCAAATTATCTGATTTCTTTGATTAATTTTGACAATCAGTCCATGTAATTTAGGCTTCAGAGTAATTTTTTTTTCCTGCTTTAATGTGAAATACTCTTTTTGGTAGTCTGTAATCTAAATAGGAAAATTTCTCTTCATCACAGAAGGCGACCTATACTCACACAGCTGGTTTTCTAACTCCAAATAATACAGCTTTACTCCTAGTTATCAAAATGAACATTTTTTTAAGTGTGATGGGCTTGTAGAAATTGACAGCAAACATTATCAGCCTGCCTATCTTTCGAATTAAAAAAAGAACAAGCACCCAAATTCTCTAGTAGTCCTTTTTTTAAAAGCAGGTCAGCTCTTTTTTTTTTTTTTTTTTTTTTTACAGAGTCTTGCTCTGTCACCCAGGCTCGAGTGCAATGGCACAATCATGGCTCACCTCCCAGGCTCCAGCCCGTCATCCTCCCACCTCAGCCTCCCAAGTAGCTGGGACCACAGGCGTGTGCCACCACACCTGGCTAATTTTTGTATTTTGCTGTAGAGATGGGGTTTTTGCCCTGTTGCTGAGGCTGGTCTTGAGCTCCTGGGCCTAAGCAGTCCTCCTGCCTTGCCTCCCAAAGTGGTGGGCTTACAGCGTGCTGGGATTACAGGTGTGGGCCAGCATGCCCAGCCTACCAAGCGCTTTTAAGGAAGAGAAAGTATCCTGCCAGGCTGAAGAGTTTAAGACACATGTGCATGGGGAAAAAAGAACAGCAGGAAATATTAGCACAGGGTTAGCTATAGTTCTCTCTGAGTGATAGAGTTATTTTGTTTTCCTTTATTTTTTCACATTTTACGAATGTTACAAATATATATAACTATTAGAAAAAAATTACTAGACTTGTAATATAATTAGTGTATGGCAATTAATGAGAAGACAGTCTCCTTTTTGTGGAAAATATCTCCCCTGAGTTATAAAGAAGATGTTTTAGAGTTCTGAATGATGCTAATCTAAACAAATATGTTCCAAGAGAGAAAGCATTCATTTTTTTCCTAAACCATTTCCATCATTTGACTTGATTCTGCTCTAGGGCTATAGTGCTGACATACCAAGAACACCTTGGAGTGACTTATTTAACCCTCTCAGAAGACCCTAGTCCTCGAGTCATTATCCACAATAGATGTCCAGTAACGATGCTTATAAAGGAAAATATTAAAGGTATGTTTTATACTATTGAATTTAGATAATACAAAATGTGTATTTTTTTCTGGGGTTTTTTGATTTAGTTGTTTGTGATCCTGTGAAAAAAATGTTTAAATATAATTATTAATTATCTCTTTTTGAGAAGTTTCCTTTTTTTTCTAATCTCAATTAATTTTAATTTAAATAGCTGCCTGTGGCCAGCGGCTACTCTACTGCACAGCATAGATTTAAACTAACACTTCTTCTGTCTGCTCTTTTTCTTTTTTTTTAATACTTTAAGTTCTGGGGTACATGTGCAGAACGTGCAGTTTGTTACATAGGTATACACATGGTGGTTTGCTGCATCCATCACCCGTCCTCTACATTAGGTATTTCTCCTAATGCTATCCCTCCCCTAGCCCCCCACTGCACTGCTGTCCCTCCCTAGCATCCCCACCTCCCTTTTCTCCCTCTCCTACCCCCCCCACCCCCCAACAGGCCCTGGTGTGTGATGTTCCCCTCCCTGTGCCCATGTGTTTTCATTGTTCAACGCCCACTTATGAGTGAGAACATGCAGTGTTTGGTTTTCTGTTCTTGTGCCAGTTTGCTGAGAATGATGGTTTCCAGCTCCATCCATGTCCCTGCAAAGGACATGAGCTCATCCTTTTTTATGGCTATGTAGTATTCCATGGTGTATATGTGCCACATCTTCTTTATCCAGTCTATCATTGATGGGCATTTGGGTTGTTTCCAAGTCTGTGCTATTGTGAACAGTGCTGCAATAAACATACGCGTGCAAGTGTCTTTATAATAGAATGATTTGTAATCCTTTGGGTATATACCCAGTAATGGGGTTGTTGGGTCAAATGGTAGTTCTAGTTCTAGATCCTTGAAGAATGCCACATTATGTTTACTGTACCTAAGTCTTTGTCTTTAAGGGATAATTCTGTATATGCCTTTTTTTTTTAATTTCAGATATTCCAAAGTTTGAGGTTTATTGCAAAAAAATTCCCTCTGAATGTTCCATTCATCATGAGCTATATCATCAGATTTCCAGTTATCCAGACTGTAAGACCAAAGACTTACTTCCAAGCCTCCTTTTGAGAGTTGAACTGCTAGATGAAGTAACAACTGAGTGGAGTGATGCCGTTGACATCAACAGTCAGGGAACACAGGTCAGTGAGCATGAAAAGTGACTCAAAAAAAAATGCCCTTTTCCGAGGTTTTGTTCGTTGCCTATTTTTAAACATAATTTTCTAAATGTCGAACATCTTTTCTCTTTGTGAGGGAGCTTGTGTATTCATTTTTATATCCTCATTAAGTTATAAATTCTCAAACTCAAGTGTGTATCTGCAAAGTAGACTATACAGCCATTGACTTGAGAGGAGCACTTAGTAAAAGCAGGCCCATCCTGGACCTCATCCAAGGTCAAATGGAAATCAAATTGTCAGGCTTGTTTAGTTAGAACATAGTTCAGCTGTCCAGATGTTAGTACGATCGTAATACCAATTCTCTTTTGTGTATTATTTGAATAATTATATATATTTTAAAATTAGTAATGTATTTTAAAATTATGTATTTTATTAATGTATTTTATGTGTTATGTATTTATATATAAATTATATATTTATATTATGTATCTTATAATTAGTAATTTTAAAATACATATATTTATCCTAATAATACATAAAACACCACAAATATAAGCACCGTTTTAAAAACCTGAACAGATAAAATGTCCTGATTTGTTCCTGTCTTACTCTGGGTGTTGATGGTACTAATTTTGTTGAAAATGGCATAAGAACTTAGCATTTCCTTTCTTCTGAACTTAAAATGTACCATGTTAGTATATAATTTAGTGGCATTAAATATACTTACAGTGTTGTATAGCCATCACTACTATTTCTGAAACTTCTTTATCATTTCAAACAGAAACTCTCTACCCACTAAGCAGTAATTCCCCATTCTCCCCTCCCTCAACCCCTGGTATCCTCTCTTCTTTGTCTCTGTCTCTATGAATTTGCCTGCTCTAAGTATCTTAGATAAGTAGAATCATAAAATATTCATCCTTTTGTGTCTGGCTTATTTCACCTAGCATAATGTCCTCAAGGTTCATTTATGTTTTAGCATGGATCAGAACTCCATTCGTTTTATGAGTGAATAATATTATGTCATACTTTTTAAAAAAGTTGTTTCACATTTATTAGTTCATTTGGTCTTTACAACAAGCTTGTGAAGTAGGCTATTGTAATGGTTACAAGCCACATATTAAAGTTATAAATGCATTTACAGTAATAATAATGGTTATCATTGAATAATCACTCCATGCAAAGCATTGTGCTAAGCACTTTACATTCATTCTCATGTAAACTTGACAACAGCCATACAAGTTAGGGACCATCATCTCCACAGAGGGAGAAGTAGAAACTAAGACCTCCAGAAGTACCTTGGTCTAATTCGCATGTAGTTGAAGCAAAAGGCCTGGAATGTCATCCAGACTTGCAGAACTGCAAAACTGGTGCTCTGAGCACAATGCATGCTGTTTCCTTACCTGGAACTCCTTGCTGCCTGTTTTTGCCAGTCCTCCTGGCACATGCTTTCTCATCTCTCAAGATTTCATTAAAGCCCCTTTAATGTGGAGTATACTTGTGAAGTGTAGAATGAATGATCTGCTAAGGGGGAGAAGGAAAAAGGGAGGGGCCTGGGATGAGCAGTAGCTGTGGAAACTGGTGAAGGATCTGCCTGGAGACTGGGGAAGGGATGGCTGAGCAACCTGGAGGGCCACACTCACCCTGGAGACCTGCATTTGTAGTGGCCACAAACTACCCAGGAGTGTGCTTTCTATCAGCCGTGCTCAGGGGCTGAACCGTTAAAACCCCTGGGATCTGTGCAGCCTCAGGAGATTTTCCCAGCCTCATTAATTTACACAATAAATATTGCAAGCTTCTCAAGGATCCCTGAACTCCCCTGCATGGGTTTGAAGATTTTTGAAATCTTGCTTATATTTGACTAGGGAATTCTTTACAATATGCATTCTTCCTGTCAAACCTTATTTTGGGGATTCCCATTCACTCTGAATTTCCTCAAAACTTTGTAGTCAGGGATACTTCAAAGCTAAGAGGAGGTGCTCTTTCCAACACCCTTATCATCCGTGGTCTGAGGACCCAGCAGTCTCATGTTCCCATTAATCTTTTAGGAGCTGTGTGCCATATGTCCTGCAGACCATGGTTTACTTCCTACTCTGGAGGAAGATTTGTTTCAGACCCTCACCAGTATCTCCTCAGTAATATCCCAGGGCATATAAATCACTGGGGAGCAGAGAGCTGCGACCTCTGATGAAAGGAAGGAGCAGTCCTTCTGGAGGAGGGAGTTTGTCTTCCAGGAACTTCTTCAGCCCTTGGTCCGTGAATTTCAAAGCTGACCTAAGCAAGCAAAATCGAAACACCATAAAATGCCCATTATGCTGCAAGGAAGAAAGCTCCTTTAACTTTTTTTCATTCAGGCCCTCTGCTTCTGTTGTGTAGATAAGATAGTCTCATGTTGTAGAATTTTGAAATATTGCATGAGGAAGTATTCTGAGTTGTATAATCTCAGAATATTCTTTGGACCAACAGTTATCAAGAAGACCTACTAACACATAGACTGCAGAATACTGATTGCCAAGTTACTGTGGGTTTTCTGGAGTTGGATCCCTGGCTCACACCGGGTCAGAAGACACCTCATGGTTATTCAGCCAGCGACCTAAAGGTGGCACCCGGTGCTCATACCCATGATTTGATAGTGGGTGTTAGTCTGACTTTAGGGCAAAAACAGTCTTTAGATGCTCAGTAAATAAAGGCATGAAAGTAAGTTTACACCGATAATTTCAAGTCATAATTTTGATCCTACAGGAAAATCGTTCAGTCTCCTGTCATAGTGTATAGGATTTTAATTTATCATACTCAGAAACTGTTTTTGTCAGAATTAGACAACATCATTTTGAAAAATTCAAAACAAGGAACAAAGAAAACCTAGTAGTTACCACCTAACCACCAGCAACATTGAGACGCCTGCTTCGTTCATTCAGTCAACAAACATTGAGTTTCTAATATGTACCAGACATTATAACTTAGTACTGGGACTATGTAAAATACACTGGACAAAAATGGATCAGAGCCCTTGCCCTCAAGTATACATATGGAAGAGGTAGATAACAAGCATGTGATCCCATGGGTAGTTGTATTATAAGCACTGAGAAGAGCTATGCAGGAAAGGTACAGTTGTGCTATGTGGGTATATAGCAGACTAGTTTGAGAGGCCAGGGAGGCTGTCTCTGAGTGAGACACCTTGCCTCTGTGTCTTCAAGGTGAACAGGCACTCCCTAGACAAGAGAGTGGGGAATCTTCTAGGTAGAGCAGTGTGTCTGGAGCTTCAGTGTTCAGAGGGAACGTGGTCCTTTCAGGGAACTAAACGCCAGTGTGGCTGGCTACAGTGCCAGATGACAGAGGGTAAGAGAGGGGGCTGGTGAGGCAATGAGAGACCAAACCTGCCAAGGCTCTGTAGGTCCTACCAAGGATTTTGGTTTTTATCTTAAGAGTCACGGGAAGTCATTGAATTTTTTGTGAAAAGTACTCACTGAGCCATTGAACTGCAAAGAATGAATAGTTTGAACCCAAGAAAGTGAATTAAAATGATTCTTTGGCAGGTAAATTCCCTTCTAAAAAGATCCAGTAAATTCTCATGATCTTGACTCTTAGCAGACCTTGGTAGTTGGGTTAGTGTCACTGCTGATTCTTTCCAAATTGATTGTTTTGTGGGGAGGAGAGAATGAAAGTCCTTCATGTTTCTACAGCGCTGTGCCATTTACCCAGCGTTTTCACAGGGACAGTCTCCATTCTTCCATTCATTTGTTCAAACTTTTACTGAGGCCCTATCAGGTGCCAAACCCTTTGCCCTAAGTAAGGCATAATTCCTGCCGTCAAGGACTTGAGTAACCAATGAATGCAGTAAAGGGAAGATAAAGCCTTTGATCATACAAAAATTCTAAGACAGTCAGGGCAATAGTTTTTATGTTTATTTACTGATGAAAGATTTGAGGCTTAAAGAGTAATCAGCTAGGTGACTTACAACTAAGCAGGAGCAAGCCGGAGCCTGGATCTGTGCCCGTGTGGTCCAGTCCAGTTTTTCCTACACCAGGCCCAGGCCACTGCCTGTCCTCTGAAGTCTCGCCCTGGCTGCAAATACTGCTACCTGAAAGTTCATCAAAGCACAGGTTAGAAGAGATCTTCTACTGTCCTTGTTTACCTAATACAAGAATCCCTTCTGTGACGCCTTACCCCAGAAGGCTCCCAGTGTAATAGTCATTACTTATGTAGTGGTGGCTATGAGAAATTTTCTTCTTGTATCAATCTGAAAGCGATTACTGTGTAGCATCCGTTCATTCATCTTTGTTTTGCCCTCTGGGACATCACGGATTGTTTATTTCCCCTCAAATACAGCAACGCTACAATTATTTGAAGGCAGCTCCAACATCTTTGCTAAGTGTTCCCTTATCCAGGCCAAACATTTCTGGTTCCTTGAATCATTCCGTCAGAAAATGCGATTTCCAGACCCATCACCACAGTTACCCTTGTCTGAACACTCTAGCGTGTTATGTTCCCTTTTAAAAATCTGGCAGCCGGAATTACACACAGTATTCCAAATGTAGTCTAACCAGCTATTACCTCCCTATGCTTCCATTAATAAAGTAGAAGATCAAGTTGGCTTTTTATTAATCAGTTCAGACTGTTTATTATTATTGAACTTGTGGTCAACCACATTCCCCAGGTCTTTATCATATGACTTGCTATACAGCTGACTTTTTGAACCCGAAGACAGGACTTTACATTTATCCCAAGTAAATTAAGTCTTGTTGATATTGGCCTAGTCCAGCTCGTTGAAATCACTTTTTAAAAAATTGTGATGCTGTCATCTAACATATTAAGTATCCCTGGTAGCTTTATATCATCCATAGATGTGGTGAGCATGCATTCTACATGTTCATCCAAGTCATTAATATATTTAAGAGGACAAGTTCATGGTCTACATACTGCAGTGAATCACTAGACACTTCCCTAATGCATGGGGTCAGTCAGCCAGAATCTACTGTCATCTAGCCCATGTTTCCTACATAAGAAAATGCATCTCCAATCACTTG